CTGGAAAACTAAGAAGAGCGTCTCACATCTTGTATCAGTTAACATTGCAGTTGTTCGATGTGTTTATGTTGCAGACAAGAAAAGTTGGTCAAATTGTCTTTATGGAGATACTCCCTGCAATCTGAGTATGCTAACAGTTCATTACGTGGCTGATTTCTGTTAAGACTGCATATCATTCTCTTCTTTCTCTAGTGAAGCTGTTTGAAGATTCTAAAATTAGATCTTTAAGATGTATCTTTATTCATTGGTAGGTTTACAACTCTAACAGCTTAGGAACCAAATGAAGACTCTTTTTCTTTTTAACATGTTTTGGGTTTTTTTTTCCTTTTTAGATGGAATGTGGGAAACAGCTTTTCATTGTCCAATGCAAATAAATGAAGGAGCAATATCATCACTTCTACAGGTCGTCATGTGCAAGAAGGTTGAAAGCATTTCTTGAGCAGAGCATATTGTGGAAGTGAATGGAGGAGCACAACACGAATGGCATATTCTGTTTGACAGATCAGACCTGCCAGGTCTGAAGATGCAAGTACCAAGGCATAGCTTAGAGTAGCCCTAAAGCTTCTTTAAGTTGTGCTTGGAAAACAGTTGTTGGACTTGAAGGGGTCATTTTAGTGTATTTTAAAAGCATGTTTATAGTTCACACCATTTTTTTTCTGTAATCACTCTAGGTATGGTATTGTCACAAGCAATGATCTGACTTCTTCAGTATCATTTTTACTTCCAATAAAATTTCAAAAACGTAACCTACATGTCTTTTCAATTGTCTGAGTAAGCTGCTGTAAGTAGCTCAGTGTTGTCATGATGATGCTGCTTAAAGCGTAATGTGGTAGAGATCACAGATTCACAGTTGCTCTGCTATTATTAACTAGAGGTACAGTTATTAAATTACACACCTGCTGTCTTACAGCTCTGCCCTGGTTTTACACTCTGTTGTGCCAGATGCTCTGCAGAGCTTTCATAATCAGTGATAAATACTGATAGCAATATCACAGTATATCCGCAGTAGTTCTGTGACCCATTTGTATAAGCTGATGGACGTGCTAGTGAGAGTTTTTTTGCTTATCTCCATAATTTGGACACCTTAATCTGCAAAGTGTTTCTTAGCCAAATATTTCTATATGAATTTTGATGGTCAAAATGAATAAAACTGTGAAAGAAGGTATGTGCTAGCAGTTCCACAGAAACCTTCTCCACGATGCCTGTTATCTGATTCAGCAGTCATTTCTCCAGCTGCAGATGGAACTAAAAGAAGCATGGAATACATGTCTAGAAGGAGAATAATTGATGAATCTGTTTATCTGTGACTGTAGTGTTCTTTATGTTGGTGCAGTAAAACCATGGGTTTCTGCAGGGGAGGTTAGTAAACAGTTTGAGAGTGCTTGACTGAAGACCTGGTTTTGATATGACTATATTGCAATATATCTTAACTCAGCCAGTTCAACTGGGAATACATCTGCTAAAAGGGGCTTTATTCTAATTTTTATTTTAATTAAGGAAATTCAACACAAAAGTATGTTTATAGTTGTGCATATTCTTTGTCTCGTGTACACGTGGAGAGTAACAGAACTGTTAAATTGAACATAAGATGAACAGTTTGTCTGGATGATGGTAATGAGAAACAAATGTTTTTATGTTGTTACAGGTGGGCTGCCAATTAAAACTTTCTCTGGTGATAACATTGTTTTGGTAAGGAGCATACACCATGAATGAACTGTTACTCTGTTGTAGCATAGCAAATCGACCTGTTTTACTCAGTAGACCAACTTGTGAAACTCTCCTTGGTTGTGTGGACTTATCTTCTGTCTGGTGATTTCTGGTAGACTTTGGGATGCCTCCTAAGAACCAGGAGGGAGGCGGTGCTGGCAGGTCTCTGACCAAGCATATTTAGTTTGTACAGATGGTGCAAGTGAGTAAGAAGTGTTGGACATCTCTGGAGAGCTTCCCCTGCAAACACAAACCAGAGGTAGCCCATTCTTTCTGTACTGTGCTCTCTGCTATGGGAGGCTGGTATATATTGGATACAGAGTTAACTGGTCCCTTGCTCTTGGCTGTGGGTGGCCAGGATTGAACAGGGAATGAAGGAGCTTTATCTGAGTGCCTGATGTTTCTGTAGACCAGGAGAGTATCGGGCTAGACCTGAATCCTCCTGAATTTTGCTCCTAAAGAGATGGACGTGAATAAGAGAGTAGTATTCAGACAAAACCTGTGCAGAACATGGCCAGAGACTGTAATGTGTTTGGGAACTGCCAGAAACAGTTCCAGAGGTTTTTTCACCTCCTTTGAAGGTGCCTGCAGATCAGCTAAGTTTCCAAGCAGTGTGAGTATGCAGAGGGCTGCTGGAAAAGTGCACCTATTAGGCAATGGATTTATATGTTGATATTTTCAGAGATCATAGCCAACAATCTGAAAAGGAAAATGAGCAATATGTTGCATTTCATGCTGTGAAACTCCCAGCCTTTTACAGTAAAGAGAACTTCTGCAGGTTTGCAGATGATGCTCAGTTTGAGAGTGGTTGATGCACCAAATGGCGGCGTTGTCATCAGAGGAACATCAACATGCTGGACAAGTGGGCTGACAGCAACCTCATTAAACTGAGGAAAGACAAATGCAAAGTTCTGCACAGAGGGGGAAATAACACTGTGCACATCTGAGAGGGCAACAGAATGGAAAGTAGCTTTGCAGGAAGGATCTGGGAGTCCTGGTGGGCATGTGAGCCAGGGGTGAGACAGGCCAACAGCATCAGGCTGCATTAGGAAAAGCCAACAAGTCAGGGAAGGCGATCCTTCCTCTCTTACTCAGCAGCAGTGAGGGCGTGTATAGAGTGTTGTGGCCAGTTTTGGGCTTTTTGGTACAAGAAACCTAAACTGGTACAGACATGGACAACCTGCTTTACTTAGCCCTGCTTGGACAGAGGGGTTGGACTAGGCAATCTCCAGTAATTACTTCCAGCCTCAACCTGGAATGAGCTTGTGTAGTTCTGCTTTCCAGCTGTGGAATGGGCTGTTACTTGTTTGGGGCAGAAAGAAGCGATGGAAGATTATTTAAACCTACTTTAAATGAAGATAGTGTCAGATATTATGCTCCTGGTAGAGCTTAGTACAGCCTATGGAGAGGCAAGTGATTCAGGTAGACCTGTATGCAAACTTGCAGAGTTACAAATTGTAGACATGCTGTCAGTACAAAAACTCTTCAAATACTTCAGCAAGGAAGGGAATGCCACCAAACTGGTGAGGGGAGAAAGTCTCCAACCACTTAGTGTGGGCACAGCCCTTTTCTCCTTAAAGTCAGTATGGAGTGGCTTTTAGTTGGACTCCTGTGTGTGAATTGTTGTGGCAGTGAAAATTTGTGCTTTCGTGAACATTAAAGTGCTACAGGAGACAAAGTCCAGTTGCTAACATGGCGTTGAGTCTTTGAATTGCTTTTGAAAATTGAGTGCATCTTCTATGCTTGGGTATATTTCAAAACCTATGGAAAGCGATTGGTCCAAGCTTCACCATGTAACCACTTAATGCATTTTACACTAAGAAATTGAATATTCTGCTGACTAGTTCAGTACAGATCATATTTTCCAGCAATAGAGGAAGAAAAGCAAGTCTCCATTTGGATTTCCAGATTACAGAAATTCTGGTGTTTAAAATACATGCATGGCTAGATTTTAACCCATCTATTTCTTCAGATAGTTCTATTTGAACAAATGTATTTGAATACTTACTTGAAATGTGTATTTTTATGTGTCATGCATATTCTCTCCAACTCAGATGTTTTGATGGTACAACCATGTTGGTGTGATAAATATGACCAGTTAAGTACCGTTTATTACTGGCTTTTGGCAAGAATGTCTTGAGATGCTGGCAAAGTACTCTGCTGTAAAGACTTGCAGGCTTCTGATTCTACATGACCATCTTTCTTAAACTTGAATCCCTGTTGAAACTCCTGTCCCAAGGACACCTCAGCCATGTACACAAAACTGAAGTTGCTCTAACTCGGGTGATTTGAAGATGCAGAAGTGCAGTTGGACATGCTGCTAAGTGGATGCTGCTGTGTTCTCCTGTGCCTGGTTGCCAGTTTTTTGCTCTTGTTTTGTGTCCTGTCAAAAGACCCCACCAAACTGATAAGACCCATTTAGGGAGGACTGAGTGCTCATTTTATTGGCTTGGGGCAATAATTAAATCTGGCCTTGTTGTCTGTGTCTTCACCCTTCGCAGAAGCATTGCCTGTGTCACCTCCCATGTCAAGATGCCCTCAAGATGTAGAGCATCCAAGGACCACTCTAGATCAAGGAGGTTGGGGCCCCAGATCCATGGGGCTGAAGAGGAGTGTATGTCTGTGATAGTGGCACATAGTGTCCCATAGGGCTGTGTTATATCAGCTCATCCCACTGACTTGGCAGTGCCAGGAGTTTAGCAAAGTAAAAGCATGTTGAGGAGCCTGTGCTGGGGGAGATGATGCTGTTCCTGATATCACAAGTGTGTTGTGGTGTGTTAGCCCTAGTTGTCTGTGTCCCAGCTCCTGCCTTTGTAGGCCTGGCTGCTGCTCACCCCTTGGATTTGGTGCTCCAGGTCAGACCAGAGGATGTCACTGGGGGACCTGGAATGAGGTAGAGTCTCCTTTCCCACCATACACCATTGTTGACTGGGAGATTGGCAATGCTCTCACCTTTGTTAGCAGCACTGGGGTGTGGAGCCTGTGGTATCCAAGGAGCCTGCTGGCCATTTTCTTTTCTGCAAAAGACACTACAGACTTTCACTCCAGGCATTCACCTATTCTAACTGGTCTAATGGATCTCCACCTGGCCATCAGCTAGGCACCTCCTGCCCGTTCTGTGACGACTGTAAAGGCTACCCAAGCTTTCAGGACTGAAGCCCTGTCCCTCAGCTGACACTGGCACGTGATGCGCTGTGCGTTAGGATCACGAAGCAGTTACTTCTTGCACTATTGATCAGTTATCGTGTCAGGTTCTGGCTGCATATTAACCCAGTTGTGCCTTCCTTCCACAGGGAATGATCTCTTTCTGGTTGCAGTCCATGAGCTGGGACATGCCCTGGGTCTGGAACACTCCAATGATCCCAGCGCAATTATGGCTCCTTTCTACCAGTACATGGAAACACACAACTTCAAACTGCCCCAGGATGACCTCCAAGGAATTCAGAAAATCTATGGTGAGCAACAATATTCACTCATCTGTTTACACTGTGCCCAAGTGCAGCGAGTATTTTACAACCACAGACAGGTAGCACCTAAAATAATTACAGTCAGGATGGATTTCCTGCGGTAACTGACTGGGAACTGTTAAAAAGCCCTCGATCCACAGCCAAATATCAGTTGTTGCAGTTGCAGTACGTTGTGCAGGTGAGGATAACCAGACCTGTGTGATCTCACTGCTGCTCCATCCCTCACTGTCCCCAATATCAAGGACTGCTGGACAGTGCAATTCAGCCAGTTGGAACAGCCAGTGCAAATGGAAGGGAAGAATGTGAGGAACCTGGCACATTAAGGAAAGTAATAAGTACTTATGCTCTCATGTTCTTTTTCTCCATATACGGGGGTGGGTAAAAGAAGCTTGGATCTGCTTAGGGAGCACTTTACTTTGTTTAATTTTTGGCTTAAATGAAAACATTGTTGTGCCACAAATATACAGGTCAGAGAAAGAGAGGAGATGGAGGGATTACAGGAGAAGATCAAGGGCTAGGAATGATATGGCACCGTCTGATGGAATAGTGGATATCAGGGCTTGAGGACAGGAATCTTTGGAGCGGTTGACTGAAGGAGACTGGGAGCAGTGGGAGAGACGGGTTTGGGAAGCCACAGTCGAAGTGGCAGACTGAGCTAGGAGATGCTAATGGAGGCTGGGAGGTCTGATCTGATACTGTGCATGGTAGTTTGTGGAAAATGTCTTGTCAAACATGCCCGATTTCCTTTTTTGGGAAAAAGAGCAAGTTTGACAGATAGGCTATATGATACTTGTAGCTAGCTACTAGCTAGCTATGTAGCTAGACCATATTCACAGCTGTATCCACCTGGAGTTAGCTCCCAGTACCATTAGAGCAAATATTATAGGAATTAAATGTTTATAAGATGCTTGTCAGTGGAAAATCATCACAGAACGGTGGTGTTTCTAAGGGATTGCTGCTGGAATCAGTGACAGATCCAATACTAGTCAGCTTTTGCAGCAATAATCTGCCAGTAAATTTTAAATTACTGCTGATGGAATTTGTGCCAAAACCCATAAAACTAAAGAAGCACGGGGAGACTTCAGAGGTCTGAGCTGTATGCCGATTGTTGTAGTCTGTTATTTTGGTGACTGGAATGAGATTCATAGGCGTACTGACATATCCAAAGAACAGGCATCTCCATCTGGGCTATTTTCACTAACTCTTGCCCAGGTAATGGGAAAAAATTCAAAAAGAGGCATTTATATGACTGTGGTTCACCCAAACTGGAAGGCAGATATCAAGGTGAGATCCAGCATTTAAATAAGATGGCCTGAAGTACACCCAGGAGGACTGGCTCTTTTCATTAGCACAACTGAAGATTTCTTTTCATTGTTCATTAATGGATAAAGTTGTTTGGCAACTGTCATGCAGTATTATTTAATTATGCTTTATTTCATCCAGTATGTATGTACTCAAGAAACCTGGATTGCAGAGACTCTGGATGGTTTTGAAATTAAGTGCTGGGGTAGGAAGCATTAAAGCTTCATTAAATACCCACGCTTTCATTTAAGAAAGCTCATAAAATGTCACTACGCTGTTTCTATTTTGAAATGCTGATTTATTTCCTGTGAATTAGAAAGAAAAAAGAATACATGCTGACAGTGAAAATACAGTTGAGAAAATATGACTGGCTTCTCTATTTCCAGATACCTTTTTGCAAAGGGAACAGATGAGGAACTGACAAATGTATTTCTTCCATGATTGTGGTTCAAGCCAATGTCAGCACTGCCCAGGCAGGGACCCAAATTCCAGGGCTGAGCTGAAATGTCTTCTGGGCCCATGGACAGGGTGGGCCTGGAGGTCCCAGAGAGGCTGGTAAGGGCCATTAAGGCTCATTCATGTCCTCATGGGCTGACAGTTCCTAAGAGAGCTGCATAGCAGCTTGTGCACAGCTGGAACAGAGCAGAGAGCTCAGCACTGTGCTGCTCACAGCTTTCCAGCAGCGCCACTAGACTTCAAGTTGTTTCTTACTCAACCTGCTGACATTAAACTTTAGCCACTAGCTACATTAAGATTCTCCTTATGCAATATAATATGCTTAAAATTTAAACTCAGCTTGAAGAAAGTGGTGTGAATGAACTACCACCTGTACAGGTTGGAATCAGGAATGAGTTTGTCGACTGTCACAGAATCGTGTGAGGCTGATCTCTGAGACCTGTGAACTGGAGTGGGCTAGGAATGGTGTTGGTAGTTGTAGAGAGACTTACTTGTGGAGGGAGAATAAGTAACAGCTTCTGCATAGGGAGCTTTGCTTCCCAAGGTGGAGATTTCATCTCTCAGCACAGGGTTCTGGAATCTCTCTGCTAAGGTCACAGAGAAAAGATGGAAAATGCAGGTTATATTTCTCCCTGGAACAGGAGATATGAGAACAAATCCTTCCATCAGAGTGCCTTAGGGCTGAGAAGGACCTGTTGAAATATCTTTCTTGTAGCTATAGCAGTAACATTTCATGAACGTGCCTTATTTCCACAACACCAGTCTGCCTTGTCTTGCTTTGAGGGTGCTGTCTACCAAAGCAGCTAGCAAAAAAAACAGAATGTCCTGATTTGCTGCCCTGACATTTTCTATGATGCTCAATATGAATGATGTTGGAACATACTATGTAAAATAAGTCATAAAGCACTGCCTTGCATGTAGCATCCTTTTTTTAAAATCAAATTCAAACCTACAGATTTTCATTCCACTGAACTTGCAGATCAAAGAACAGAGGCACTACTGAAATTTAAGTCTGATTTGTCTTCTTTGACAATGTTGCACTTTAAATGTGTTTTTATGTTGCATCTTCATTTATCCCTTGGGAAACAATATGTCTAAGTCTGTCATCTAATAATTTGTTGCATGACTAAGTTATTTTCTGCTGGATGTATTTCAAAACTCACCTACAGAGACAGCAGGTGGTGTGAAATCTTGCTTGTGCCTTGTTGTGTTAGCGTAAGGTCGATGTTTAAAATGTTGCTCTGACTTACAAGCTAATGATGAAAGGGGCAGCAGCTCACCAAGTGTGGCAAAGAGTGAACTATAAGAAAAGTCAGCAGGATTTTTGTCTTCCGAAAGGTGCTTCTTGCAGCACATTCCTTGACAAAAAAAGGGAAATATCATAACTGTTCTCTTGTGTCTTTCTCAGAATGATAGCTCCCATTGTACTTAGGGGCTCATGTTATGAGTGGGATGGCCAGGAAGGAGTTAAACTGGAAATGACACTATAATGTAGGTCCCTTGGATATTCTGCTAGGTTTTCTGCCTCTTTTATTTGTCCTAGTGTTGAAGTCAGGGCTGCATGCAGCTACTGTGCAGTTAGAGAGAAGCAGCATACTCAACCATGGCATTGTTGCACAACTTGAACTGATCCTCTTTCAGCATTGCTGCTTCTGTTCTTCATGTCTTGCTGTGGGCACCCTTTTGTAATGGACTATAAGGTAGCTCTCATAGTTAGAAGTGACTCTTCTGACACTGTGTCTGGAGAGCAGGGTGGTCAACGTGATGTGCAGAGAAAACTCACATCCACGTGGCTACCTAGAGCTGGTGAGCCAGGCCATTACTTTCAAGGGCTTTCTGAAGCTTAAGCTCACTAACGGAAGATTTTCTGTCTGCTCAAAGATAGACCAAATTGTTAATCCTGGAGAATACCTCAAGGATTTCAGTCCTCCACATCCTTTAGCCCAGGAGCTCCGAGTCAGTGCATGTGCAGCATCCCATCAGGGCTGAGGTCCAAGGTGGTAACGAAAATCCCATCAGCCCCTGTCCAAGGAACAAATTAATCACTGCTGGGCAGTACCACCTCTGACATCCAGGATCAGGGTGTCAGCAGATCCTGAGCAAATAGCATCTTCTTCTGGCCCCTTTACTCCTATGCTGCAAGCACAGGTTTCACAGCTTCACTCACATTTCCCAATGGCTTCCCATAGAGCAGTCCCAGATCTGTATGACGTACGTGTATGTGTGAGATAGCTTTTTATGAAATGGCAGAAAGACTTGATGCCAAAAGGCTGTAAGCTCCATGTGGTGACCCTGCTTTGTAAACCATCGGAAGTGTTTGTATTAGAAGTGTTTCATGATAATGCCCTCTGAAAGTGGGAGTGGTATAGAGTAATAACCAAGACCTTGATCTATAGAAAATGATTTTAGTGATTGTGAGACAGAGAAGTATGTTCTGCTTGATGGATTTGCAAGCCTCTAGCATACCTCCTGTGCCAAAAGAGGAGTAGTTTAATGACAGTCCTCTACAGCATTGTGATGGATGTTCGTCTCCTGAAGAACAAGTACCAGAAGAAAGAACTTGGAAGGGTAATCTTCACAAGCAAAATTGAAGCACCTATTCTGGGAGATCCCAGATCTTGAGGACAGAGTGATTCTCCCTGTGGCTACTCATCCCATCTAGAGCTTCTGCTTTAAAGGGGCAAAGAAGGTGAGTTTCTGTGCTAGGTGAGCAGGTGGATGGGCAGTAGCAGGGAAGGTGGCAAGGTCCAGGTGAGTTGGAAGCAGGCTGCATGCTAGCAGTGAGCCCAAGATCATGCCTTTTGAACACTTCCAGAAATCCAAAAGGACTGTGAGCCCTGGACTGCCAGCAGCACAGCATGAGAGGCATCAAAGGCCATGCAGATGCCACCAATGAGTTTGCAGTTTGAGATAGCCAGTTATCTCTAAAGTATTAGTGCTCAAGGCAGCAGAACAGGTTTCTAAAATGCTTATTTCAGTCTTCCTTTGGAAAGCTGTTATCATCTTTTCACCTCTTTGGCAAACTGACAGTACTATTGTCTTTCAAAGCAAAGATGATGAATGTTTTTTTTCACTGTGTCACAAAAGAACTCAGACTTACAGCTGATGAGCTGACAGCATTAACTCTCTCTGTGTTATCTGTGCTGGAAGACTGGCTCATAATGGTAGAAATAGTAGGCTGCTTTTGCTGGGGGGAATTAGGTTTTTGTTTTCTTTTGTCTTATTTGGAT